AACTACAGACTGCCAGTTTGACCCTCGCGGATGGGGGTCGACTACTTTTGTCACACTCTAGAGTGTGGATTCCCTCAGCAAGAGCGCTAAAAAATAAAGCCTGATCAGGAAAAAGCTATTCTCAAACTTTTACACCTTTTTTTGTTCAGAAATGGTTTGGGGGAAAGGGTTCGTATGAGAGTGTATGTAAGTTGTGTGAAGTGTCACTTTCATCACCACTTCCTGTTTTTTCATCATCACCTGAATTCATGGTGGAATCGTTGAATGGTCTATCAAATTCAAAACGCCCGTTACAAAGTTGTAAAAGCTGAAATATGAACCGTTTATAAATGGAAGAGGAAGTCTGCTGGATCTTAACTTCACACAGAAGATTTCCCTTCCTTTTTAGCCATAGAATTTTGCGTGTTAAGCTCATGATTGATACACCCCATACCGGCGAACTCCATCCAACATATTAATTACATAATCGCCCACATACCGGCGATGAAATTCCGAAAGGGCTAAGAAAAGTGCGAAAAACCAGAAGGAGAGCCCACCACTGGTACCCTCCCACCACCTGCAATTCGGTCACAAAACAGAAAGCAGACAGGCAAAACGAATAAACAACAACAAATAGCTGTGAAATTTGTGCATCGCTCTGCACGCCCCTGGCTACTCTCTCATTCTTTCTGTGACTGTTTTGGTGTAAGTCACAAAAAGTCCACAGGGTTACAACGACATACAACAAAGAAAATTCTAGGCACTGAGATTTGGATAAAAGTAATACTCGAAAGAAGTAGAAGAAACAAATGATCAAAGAGCACCTATCAACCATCAGTATCAAGCAAAAAGAGGGGTGATTTCGAGGGTGTGCTTGGAAATTTGAGTTGAGTAGTTTTAGTCACCAGCGAGGGTGTACAATTATGGTGGCACATAAGTTAGGAAAAGCAAAAACAGACCACAACAGTGCACTGTGCATTTAAAAGAAAACAAGACACAAAAAAATCGTAAGCTCTTCTGGCACATCACTTTTAAAGACCGATAGAGATATACATACTCACAAGTGCAAGCACATAAACACACATACACACACACACACACACGGCCATCATGAGTTCATTATGAGATGGAAATATGTCATAAAAGACAGGGTCACCTAGTGGACTTTACACAAATGGGCAAACACACAAACACACACATATGTATGCACACACATCAGAGGATATTGTGAGACAAAATGAGTCAGACAGAATTTAGAAAACACAATAAAGCACACCCACACATTAAGAGACGCGTATCAAATGTACAGCAATAGATGTATGCGAGTACATATACATATATATGGAAGTACATAAATCTCTCTCTCTCTCTCTCTTTAAATATATATATTCTGTCACACTTCAGTATACACTTGAAACATCTCTCTGCATATATGGGTGTGCTCATCTACATACATACATGCACACACACACACATAAATACATATGCGCACCCACAAACACAAACCCCAAAACACACCGAAACTTAGAGATAAAATGTGAGCTTCAGGTATATATATCTGCATATACAATGTAACAAATGATGATGCCAAGAGCGTACATGCTCCCTCACAGACACACGCACACAGAGACACACACACACATATAAAGCAGGCAGACCAGTAATCAAAGACAAGTCATCTAAGAAAGACATCATATACGTTTACCCACTGACTGACAGTGTTCCCACCAAATATAACTGTACAGGACAGCGAGGTCCAACCATTGCGTAACATTATCATTCCCTCATAGGATTACATACTATTAATAACAGTCTTTATATAATAACATTAATAACAGTCTTTATACACATTATATTACAGAAACCTTATATTACCTTATTTGAACAGTGAATGAATGAAAACAGAACAGAAGCAGCAGTTGTAGTTTTTTTTTTCTTTCTAAACAGACCAAATTTTTCTCACATTGTTTATCTGCTTTTGTTGAGGGTGCACACATGATGCAGATCGATGGCTGGATACAGGACTCCCGACTACTGCCAAATTACACAATGTCATCTGTCAGAGTCCCGCACTCAGCCATCGAGATACACAACAACCATTATTTATAGCATTCAAAGCAGTAAAAGAGTTTGGTAAAAGATTACCGACATGTGCAAAAGTGGCACCAAACATAATAAGACCAGCTTCGTGTGGTGTAGAGTAAAAGGATAAAATACACCAAAAATGCGTAGAGCTGTAGACCAAGGGAGGGCAAACTATGGCTCACAGGCCAGATGCGGCCCTTCATAGAGTTTTTGTATCACCCACAAAAACATTTGGCAAATTAAAAAAAAAACCCAGAAATGTCCAAAATTATCACATTTGCTTCAAAACTCGAGCAAAGACTATACAGTTTATATGGTGAAATTTGAAAGAAAATCAGTTCGCTCAATTTTCAAAATTTTAATCATTTTATTAATATTATAACAATATGCTGTTTCAATTTTGTATTTTCTTTCTAAAAAAAAGTCTTATCTGATACACTATGTCTAGCGGTAAATGGTGAGGCCCTTTGCTGTTTACCACACATGCAAAAAGACCCCCAATCTGAAAAGCCTGTCCACCTGTGCTGTAAACAAATCAAGCCCCTGAGAACACAATGGATTCTGTCTCCACGTTTGGGCTCTTGCAGCTGTCCTCTGCGGTAGTTAGTTTATCACCAGTGACCACATTTTGGTAAACTGCAAAGAAACTAGTATCACTGAAAAGCGACGGATGATCCAAGCAATACCAGGGCATGTACAAACCACCCCCTTTCCGTACTTACATACAAATGAATTGCCTACAATCAAACCCCAAGAGACAGGAAAAAATGTTTTACATTTCTTTTAACGCTGTGTGCCAAACACAAGAGGTTTCCTCACACACGTAAGTGACTGTGCTCCTGTTGGGGAATGAAACCAAAGCTCTCTCCTGACTGTGAAGTAGACAACCGCCGCCCAGTAATTTTATAGGGCAAAGCGAGTCAGTCCACCTAAGACACAAACAAGTTTATAACAAGGATTGAAGTCCCAGATACTCTCTTGTCAAAAGAAAAAAAAAAGGGCTAAAAATCAAGCAGTTCGTCACTAGCAAGGAGGTGGGTGGATGGGGATGTTTTGGTGAGGAGAGACAATCCCTCCGTCTGACAATGTCACAAGTACAAATAAGAGTATTCTAATCTTAGTATCACCAATGCCATTTTAGCAACTTGAAGGTCAAACAGACACCATTCTCTGCAAACAAGTGAATAAGAAAACAAACGACAGTATAAACTTAAAGGCGTAATTATGCAGTGTTCTTTCAGTCTTTGGGTTACAGCAAATAATTTTTTTTTAAAGAACAAAACAGACAATTGAATAATTTTAAGAATTAACATTAATTTTTTTTACCATCCACGAGAAGATAAAAAGCTAAATATATAGACAGCCCATAGGAAAATAATTTACCCACTAACAACTGTTGGATTTTACACACTGCTTTTTTTCAGGGCACTAAAAAAATATGCTCCTATACCATGAAAGAGTAAGATCACAGTTCACTTTATATTTCGCGTTTTCGTTAAAAAAATGTCACTCAAATCCTACAAAAATAAGAAAAACAAATGCAAAATTAAAGCAAACAGCTAAACAAATGATGAAACCCTACATTGCGTAAAAGCATTCAAAACAATTGTAAAATTTTTACAAACTCTGCCTTCACTCACAACATTACACCATGAAAGCAGAGAGATTGTGACAACGTTGTAAAACATAAAGCTCGAAGTCATATCAAACGGCACAAGACTTACCAACACATTTTAAAAATTTTTTCTAAATACTTTCATCTCTTGACCACATAAAAAGTTGAAAGCAGCAGCTGTCTTTGCTTTGTGACAGCACACACTCCTTACATATAAAACCTTTCATCATCCCTCTTATCAAACAAAGTCAAACCTCACATACCTGACCAGGATATACATGTCCCTTATTTGTAAGAGAAATCCATAGACATGTACTCCTAGACCTTGCACAGTCATGGCCAATGCTCTTCCATCTCTATAACAACTCTGCTGCAAAGCATGCACACCATGGACAGTGCTTTAAGTCCAAAAGAAGAGCAAAACACCAGTCTTGCTTCAGTCGATAAGGCGCGGCACCTTCCTCCCTGCCCATCATTGGGCTCAATGGTGCGCTAAATAGTGAACCAGAAATACATCCGAGTGCGGTGTCTAGGAAATTGTAATACAAGTCTATGGAGAAACCTTTCATTTATCCCTCGAATTAAAGTCTACAGTCCACAGCCATATATGTGACTGAGCTATCTCGAGTCTGGCAATACACCATGCAAAAAATCCTCAATTTTTCCCTCAGAATAAAGGCTAAAGCCATATATTCAACAGAGCCATCTGCATTCCCTTCTTACATATAACAAAAACATTTCATGTCTCTTACATATAAAAAAAAATATTTCATGCGTCTTATATACAAAAAAATTTCACGTCTCCCATACAACAAAGTCAAAAGTCAGATATCCGATAGCGTTAACCGACCGCACATGACCCTGACATATACCTTTCCTCCATTCCCCCATAGTATGTCCAAAGTCACATATTTGTAGCGGGTAGTTGGCCGGTGCTCTGGAGTGGTTTGCCTCTTCTTTCCTATGAAACATCTATCGTCCTTATCTCCCCTTCTTTTTTAAGTTTGTTACGCTCTTGTAACACCTCTAATCTTCTGGCGTTCATATGACCTTAAGCAGTTGCGAGTGCTGTAAAACCTCTACTAAAACTAAAAAAACAACACATATGGTAGAATCAGGCCCTTGTTAATTTTTGGGCATATGGAAATATTGGTAATCATTGCACAGGTTGCTCATTTGTCATCTTGAATAGAAATTGAGATATTTGTGATTTAAGGAGACAGTGGTTTGCCTGGTATCTGAAGTAAAATTAATGAGAAAATGTCTGTCAAAGTTTGTAGACTTCCAAAGTTTGAGTGTTCTTGGAAACTGCAAATTTACATTTTTTGGTGCTTTTGATCAATGTATTTTTAGTAAAATCTACACCGAAATACATTTGTGGACATAAAAGGTCTTGAGCCCCTCAAATATATTTGATAAAAACGGGTGGGAAAATGCCGGATTCTTGGATTTAATTATTTTAACGAGCACCTAATTTCACAACGATGCCACACTTATGTAATTAATCTACCTGACATCTGATCATCATCATGAAGTGACAGATTAACAACAGACATGGGCAATCATGGTTTGCCATTTATGTCTCTGCTCAGATGGTCTAAAAAAACCCAACCTATATTGTCCAGGACTTTCCCTGTCATCCACCTGTTGAAGTGATGTGGGTAAATTGTTCTTGGTCTACCTTTACTTCTTTTGCCATCTGTTTTTATCCCAGTAAGAGCAAGATGTTCAAGGCTTTTATGTCTTTTCAGGTGTCCCAGAAACTGCATTTGTCTCTAGCCTTCTTTGAGCACTATTTCATTTAATTTCCTTTCCTTCCATAAAATTTTCAGTAGTTTCCATCTGATAATAAATAGATATGTTATTTTTCTTCATATCTCCCTCACTGCAGATCAAAAGTAAAAAACACATGTTTATCAAAGAACGAGTAGCTCAGCTCACAAAATCAGCCCTGCCTGAGGTTAGATAGTTGGTAAAAAGACTGCAAACAATCCTGAACACAAGTTCAAGGTTGAACTGAAATTTGTAGGTTAAAAAGGATTAATTGTTAAATTGAAATCCTATACAGCATATGTATATTCCCACAAATGTTTTGAGTAATTTCTGAAAGAACAAATGACGTTAAGCAGTGAACATATTTTTAAAAAATTCTTCTCTAGCCACCTTCATCAAACTGTGGGTGAAGTCAAACAGCAGTTTGGGGTACATACATCTTGGACTTGACAGCTCTCTCTGGTCGCTCACAACCCCTTATGGAGATCAAACACCTCTCAATGATCCAGTCACTTCAAGAACAAGCATGTTCAAAATCCAGTAATTCAAAAAGAAACGTCCGAAGCAACAGTCAGCCGCTGAGGCATCCTGCATAATAAAATGATTGATTTTCTCCTTTCAACTCAACCTCATTGTATCCAGTTTTCCTGTTTATGCCTACATACCATGTCAATTCACCAAGAAAATGACTTGCTTGAAACGACAAATATTTCACTAACTACAGTAAAAAAGTCCCAACCCAACAACAGATCAATGCTGTATCTCGACTGACCAGCTAGCTCATGGCCATATAGCGTTGCGAAGCAAGTTACCAGCTGAGAACTTCTGTATTGAAATTCCAGAAACGAGTTCGGAACAATGGCATCATCGAGAATTATGGACATTTCATTTGAATCATACAAGTCACTATGAATTCCAGTTGTCACCTGTCTGTCACCATGGCTGTGTTCCTCCAATGGTGCCTCATTCCTCACCTCAAACAGGTCTCAATCTTCCACAGTTTCTGCTTTGAAGCATTATTCAGACCATCTGGAATTCTAAACATATTGCTCTGGCAAACCAAAGGTTTCCAGAATTACCTCCGTGCTTTTTTGTAATCAGCGATTTATACCTTAGGAATATTTTGAGATTTCTTGACTTCAAGACATATTCTTTATGAACATCCAAGAATTTCAGAAATATATCCGCCAACCAATCATCCGAGATTTCTTGAGAAGGCTCATAACTAAAATATGTACATATGAAAAAAATATACGTATATATTCTACATATATCATCTGCGTGCATCTGGCATTTTGTCGGTGGCATCCATGACACATCGTCGCGCCTGAGGTTCGTTCTCCACAATATGTCCAATGTAGTAGATGGCTAGGATGCCCATGGCCCCCGCAGTCACCATGTAGGAGATGAGTGTGCCTGTCACGTGAACAATGGTCCCCATCGCAGCTGTCAGCACAACCTAATGGGAAATTCAATGAACATAATATAAGTTATTGAGTGGACACACATACCCTACATTTCTGTCTGTGGACAGTGGATGGAGAGAGGGGGTGGGGGGGAGAGAGACATGGAAAGCGAGATGGAGGAATAGGAGATAGGGAGAAAGGGAGAGTGTGAGATGGAGAGAGAGAGAGAGCAAGAGGGACAGACAGTTGGGATAGAAAGAGGGAAGAAAAGAAAGGGGGAGGAGAGAGGGATAACGAGACAGAAAGGGAAAGATTGGAATAAAGAGAGAAAGACGGAGAGGAGAGAAAGAGAGATCGAGAGACAGAGAGAATGTAGCTACTGCTCTGGCTACTACTAGAACTGTCTTGGTTCAACTTGCAATTCATTCTCAAGTTTTTTGTGTTGCTATTGAACACAATTTAGTTGAAAAGTTAGTGCTATAGCGTGCTTTGAAACTTTGAAAAAAACCCTGAAGTATTTCACGATGCATTTCACTGGCAGTCTTGATCGAAATTCCCCCAAATGGATCAGTAACTCGTTTACCTCATTATGAGCTACCTCATTTATTCATTCCCAACATTTGTTTTTGTACATTCTGTAAAGCAGGGTAAAAAAGAGACACGAATTATTCTTGATATAGTGACAATTATACAGGTGCTCTAGAATTTTGAAAAGCATTTAATATCATCACTGAGATTTCAAAAGCACCTAAATCCTTTTTTTGTAGTTTAGAGAAACCGAAAGAAAAAATAATGTGCTCCAATGAGAACCAAAACATGAGCACTCTTTATTTTTCCATTAAAAACTACGAAGGAAAACAACAAAAAAGAAGAACCTATATCATAAGATGGCCCTTGATGTCTTTATTCCAACAATAGCTTGATCTGGAAACTTCCAGAAACTGACCTGGGCGACTGCGGAATGATGCTGACCATGTGTAAAATATACAGACTTGTTTTATGCTTTAGTAAGAGTTTTACAGCACTTGCAACACAAATAGATCATATGAGTGCTGAAAATTAGAGGTGTTACAAGCGGGTAGCAAACACAACAAAAAAATAGAAAGGAGGAGAGATAAGGACCAATAGACGCTTGACATGAAAAAAGGAGCAAGCCACAGCAGAGCACCCGCCAATCACCCAGCCATATACAGATAAACTACTCATTGTTTACCTGGGAGAGAAAGTAGGACCAGTCCAAGATAGCCATGTCTGCGCCGATACCCCGCTCTGAGTCCGACAGCGTGGCAGATGGTAGATCTCTGAAGTAAACCTAAGGATGGGAGAGGGGAGAAAATCCAAGTGTCTCCAAGTGTTGAAAAACTGGGGCAGGCACACACACACACACACACACACACACACACACACACACACACACACACACACACACACACACACACACACAGAGATACAAACACACATACACAGGTGAGAATGAGAGAGAGAAAGGGAGAAAATGAGTGAGTGAGTTAGTGAGAGAGAGAGAGAGAGAGAGAGAGAGAGAGAGAGAGAGAGAGAGAGAGAGAAAAAGACATTCTTCTCCGTGACAAAATCGCCATACAGAAAGAATCACATAGACAAGCACACATACAAACAGGCACAACATCCCCAAGTCAATGTTCCCTGAAGGCTAGCCAACACAACTTGACCCTCAGATGAGGTCATCAGGTAGACAAACACACATATGCATGTGCATATGAAGACACACACAAACACAGGCACATACACACACACACACACACACACACAACATTTAAATATATGTACTTTTTTTGTTGGCATGGTACTTGAAGATGTTGTTGTTGTTGTTAGCTATCCAGTAGCAATTGAGCGTTAACTCTTCTGCATGATGCCATTCGGTAATAGTTGCATGTTTGTTCTAATTGTTGTCTTGAGGAGTAGAGGCAATTAGATGTGTGGGGCAGCTTGGGAAGAAAACATCCCCTTAAATCAGTTAGTTTTCTACAGAAGAACAGATGATGTTCCACTGTCTCTGAGGGGTAGTCACATAGTGGGCAGGCAGCAGACTGCTTTACTCCAATTCGGTTGAGATGTTGGTTGAGGGGTACATGTTGAAGATAGGACACAAATACCAAGAATTTGAGTTTGAGTAGAGAAAAGCATATTGACATTACAGCCTCTAGACTTTAAGAGCACGTAAAAAAGCAAGACTGGCAGACAGTAAAGGCAGCAGGAAAAGAAAAAAGTGGGCTTCACCAGAGGAAGCCCCCACCATCCATCCAACCATCCACAACAGTATGTTAGTGATGAAACAGACACATGTACACACCAACATAACTTCATGACTATAAAAAATAAAGACAAACACATCCACAGGCATACCTTTTTGTTGGCATGGTACTTGGAGATGAGCATGAAAGGTATGGTGGTGATGGTAGCGTAAGCAAAGCCTGTGATGGCCGCCATTAGGTTGACGAAGACGATGTGACGAATCAACACCATGCCCATCATGGCTCCCACAAATGTGACCATGCCCAAGGTGAAGGTCGTCTTGTATCCGTAGGCAGCGGTCAGGCGCTCAATGAAAAAGGACAGCACGGCCGAGCAGATGCAGTGGAAGAGGAGGCCCCAACTGGCAATTCGAACCCCATCGTCGTAGGCACGTCCCTCCGGGCTGTCGGCGGGTGCGTTAGGGTTACCTCCGTAAACCACCTGGACAGAAGAGAGGCGAGAAATGATGTAAATGTTGGTGTTTTATGCCCCCATCCACAATTTTGATAATTTGAGAATTGTCTGTTTTGACCCCGCCTGTCAGGGCCAAAATAGGCTGAGAGTTGAGAGAGAGATACAACCTTCCAGCAGAAAGACGAAATACTTAATACAAACTCTCCTCACTCAGCAAATAGAAACTCATCCAACGAACGAACTGAACTCATGTCTTATGTGTGTGACAGTGAACCACCTAACTGCTATACCACAAATGCCAGTCCTATGGATTTGAGTGTTAGCCTGATCGTGGCCTACTTTTATCTGTCTGTGCACCGAACACGACTCAGAGCGTAAATCTAACAGTTGACCCAACAGAAACAGGTGTACAGAAACTTTAGGCTCCAAGGATTGTAAAGCTAATACAGCTTGTTATTAGGCAGGAGTTCGAGCTATACAAATGCTGTTTATAATTATTTTCTTCTTCTTCTTACTATTATTATCATTATTACAGTAGAAATTGTCCAACACACACATCCATTGTCATGGACAAAAGTGGTTTTCTTAGAAAGGTGGATGTCTTGGACAGGTCATTTCAGGGAAAGTGGGAAGTGGTGGTTTATACAGGTAATTATCTTGGTCAAGTGACCATTAAAGCAGCGTAGCTATATTATTATTATTATTGACTTTATAGAATACTCATTGTGTCATACACTCACCTGTCCCACATAGTCCGTGTAGTAGATGTTGAAGCCCATGATGGCCGTCCATGAGCAGAAGTCGGCTACAGCCAGCAGTTTGAGCACAGCTGGGATCTGAAAGAGCTCCATCAGCTGCTTGGGGAACACCTGCTTGACCAGCCAGACCACACAGGACACTAGCTGGCTCAGGAAGCGACAAATCCGCGGACAACTGTGGCCCAGACGAGACACCCCACGCCTAAATATGCGGGCCAGGAAGCTGGGCATGACGCTGAAGGCAGCGGCCGGGGAGTGGGCGTCACCTAAACCCCTGATGGACCTGGGCAAGCGCTTACCGTTCGTTTTGCCCTGCCCTTCGTCACCTGAAGAGTAGTTACTAGATTCGTAGCCCGACTCGTGGGCTATGTGGGGACGGGGTGAGGAGGAAGGTGAAGCAGATAGTTCTGAGAGTAAGGGTGTGGCAGAGACAGCAGCTAAGGAGGAGGAGGAGGGGTCTGTGGAGGCGGCGGTGGGTGTTGATGAGACCATGCTCGTGTTACTGGTCATGGCGGGGTTGGACAACGGCACTTCCTGCGCGATGAGCAGAGTGGCGGCGAGCATCATGGTGAACATGACGATGAGGATGGAGAAAACAGATGCCTCCTGACCGCCAAAGTATTGACCCATGGCGTTGTTGGACCAGTCGATGGCGGTGAGGAGGTAGCCGATGATGCCCCCAAGGCTCACCATGAGGGAGTAGATGGTGAAGATCTTTTCGCTCTGCTCCGACTCACAGGCCGCGTCATTGAGTAGGGCCTCGCACGGCGTCAGACAGGCCTGGGTGGTAAAGTCAAGGAGAACAACTCCAGCCGTTAGCCCCCAGATGCCGATCCTGCGGCTAACAACCGGGTTAGGCACGAGAAGTGAGGCAAAATATTCCCCGAACGGGATGAGATAGAGGGAGACAACCAGCAGTATGGCCAGACCTAAAATGAAAGGTCGGCGTCGGCCAAAGTGGCTGTAGCAGCGGTCACTCGCGCGGCCAATGACTGGAACCAGGAAGAAGCCTAGAAGGGGTCCCAAGCCCAGAATGAGGCCGAGGTTTTCCTCCGTGTAGCCCGCCTTGAGGAGCAGTGGTGGAACGTAGGTGAAGCCAGCGCACGCACAGATCTCCACCCCACACACCACCGCATTGAGCAACAGCATCTGCAGCAGGGAGAGGGAGCCGCGCGACAACGACGATATTGACGTCTTCGTCGTCGAGGTCGTCATGTCTACCACCACGGCTGACATTGACTCCATAGTGATGATGTTGATAGCTGGGACTCCAAGCAGGTCTACAGATCTGTTGACGCTAACACCTGGATCTCCTCAGTGGAATGTGGCCAGCCCAGAAGTGGACCAGCTCTGAACGCATGTGTGTCTGTATTTGCGTGTACACTTGTGTGCAAATGCGAGTGTGTGTATGTGTGTGTGTGTGTGTGTGTGTGTGTGTGTGTGTGTGTGTGTGTGTGTGTCTGTCTGTCTGTGTCTGCGTATGTGTTTATGAGCGTGTGAGATAGGCCTCCTGGCACTCACACCTCCCCAGACACCAGCCCTGTAAGGACAGTGGTCAGGGGAGAGAAGGTTCAAGTCCTTAGTGAGAAAACTAACGTCATTGTTCACAGCGGTTTAATGTAATTCTCTTCACAGATGAAAACGTTCCCAGCCTTGTCGCATACGCCGCTCTCTCTCGTCATATCTGAGGAAAAAGACAAAGGAAGGAACATAAGTTTTGTAATCTATGTCATCGTATTGTGGCTCATAACAAAACACATTTTTTTTTATAGTTTTTTTTTTTTTTTTTTTTTTTACTAATGCACGTCATATACACTTTTTTTCTAGTAGTATTTTTGCATGCTGCACACGAATATGGTCTTAATTTTTGCCGCAAATCAATAGTTATTGAGTTATTGGGGTTTGAAAATAGTAATATTTGACTTGAATTTAACATCATGGGGGGGAGGGGGGGGGGGCAATAATTTGATGTTTTGGCAATTAGGATTGATATTCACTTGAAAACAATTGATTTGCAATGTTTTTAGAGGCCATACGAGTGTTCTACACCAAAAATTACGGCAGTTTAGCCCTCATATCAAGGCATCTGTGTGTGGGTGCATAAGTAAAAATTTACCAAAAGAAAATAATGATGATGATAAATAAAATCATAATAATAAAAATAATAATAATAATGATAAACAACAACAACAACAACAATAATTTTAATATCACTTTTTAGAACATCCACTTCCCGATGGCTCTAGGCACTTCATAATAAAATCAAATTTCGACAACTTACACGACACGTTTCATTTGTATCAGACCATTCATTGAACAACAATCCTTTCAAACACATATATGCACCAACACATACACGCATTGACAATCACTGTGAATGCAGATCACATTGGTTTGGAAGAAGAGTTAAACTAGCTGGTAAAACAGGATTTAAATAAATGTGACTATAAATCAGTTTTAAATGCGGCAAATCGTTGACGCCTCTCTTAAATGCAGTGGGGGGGGGGGGGGGGGGGGAATTCCACACTGAGGGAACAGCTGTCGACAAATCCCTATCTATAATAGCTTTAATTTTACAAGGCACAGTAATATGTCGTTTGTTAATGGACCGTCAATTCCGAGGGCTCGTGTCTGGCAACCTGACACCTAAAACATCCTAAATGATGGGGTGAATACGATGTACAATAAATTCAGAGACGTATCCGTTCCAAGCAAGGCAAAGAGCTCACACTCCAGGTGCCAAAAAAGAAATTTGTTGTAGGCCTACTTTGCTGTACGTCCTTGTAACATACATGGCTTCTAGAACAACATCCCGTCACCATAGAAAGCAGGCGCACCGTACACTCAGTCTGTAGCTTGCTGGTTTAAAAAAAAGTAAGTGAGTGTACGGGTTTAACGCCGATATCAACACATTTATGTCGTTTAAACTTCTGAATTTAACGTCCATTTCCTATAGGACCGAGCTGGCCGGGAGCCCTGAAAACTCCACAAAACGACAAGTGTTCAAGAGCGCCCATTCTGGGATTCGAACCAGGGCCACCCGCTCTTTAGTCCAACATTTGCATGGTCGACCATGATGTCGATATCTTTGACCTCAATCCTGACAGGGGTATTTTTTTTAAACTTATGTAATTCGGGGAAACTCTCCGAAATTTAACAAGGATAAAACAGGTTATGGAACACATAGAACATCAAAGAACCAAGTGGTTTGGTCATCTGATGAGATTGTCACCAAATCGACCAGCTGCGTAAGCTTACAAGTCAGGATACAAAGACAGGAGCAGATCACGCAAAACTTGGCTGTATGGAGAAAAAGAGGTCACCCAAAAGAACACTACCACCAACGCAAGCCACCCATTAAGCCAGTGACCGAAAATTGCACCTCCTCTCGACATCTAACGGTACATTAATAACATAAAGTAAAGTAAAGAAAGTATTCCAGTGTTGAAAAAGGGCGGGTTTTATTGTGTCTTTGTTTTTTATTTTCTTTCTTTATTCTTAAGTATGTGTTTCGCACCCCAATCTACACAACTTAGCTCATTTTGGAGGGGGGCTTCGGGCTCGTGATAGAGATACAATGTTACAGAAAAAAGATCAAGATACTCAACTAAAATTTTCCCCACACGAAAATGATCGAACTCGGGTCTTCCGCAAACGACCGCAAAGCAATTAACCGCTGCACCACAAGACACTAGTGAGAGACACCATAACATATCACACTGCATCAACCCCTACATCATCACCAAACAAAATAACAAAAACAAAAGAGAACAACCCGCCC